GTATTAAAAAAATCAAAGAACTAGGAAAAAAACTGGTCTAACCGGCTTTGAACGGGGTTGGACCCTTTTTTTTTTTTTTTTACTCCAAACCGCTGAAAATTGGACATGACCGAGTATTTTAATTATATTATTAATTAATAATAATAATAATACACGTGTCAGTTGATGATTAGTGGATTGTATGGCATATCCTACTTCTTCCCACACCAGATTCTGTGTAAAATCTGAAGTGCTTCGAAATATTTTTTCTCATTGCACCTCTTTCTTCTTCATCTCAGTCACCACACCAAACTCGCCTCTGCCTCTTTTTTTTTTTTTTTTTTCCAGATTTTGTTTCTTGTATAAATTCAGTCCCTCATATATGCGTTTCATGGTTGAAGTTTGATGGCAACATGATCCTTGACGCATGGTTTGGATCACAGTCTAACTCTTTCAATGGAATTTGATGTGATTATTGACTAATAACTCCTCTCTCAGTCACTCTCAACTTCAAGTTCCTCTTTTTTTTCCCCAGATTTTATCAGCCGATCTCTTAGTCACTCAGTCTCTCTGTCACTCTCTCTCTCTTACCCGTTGTCTCTCAGTCACGCACACACACACTCCCTATCTCTCTCTCACCCGCTCTGACTCTCATCTCCCTGAGCCAATTTCTACATGGTTCTCTCTCACCCATTCTTGCTCTTTGTTAGCCGATCTCTAAAAAAAAAATACTATCAATTGTTGCGTTTGTTGGGCCTTGTTGAGGCCCAAAAAATTCAAGGTCGGGCCCGAATAAATTATCGGCCTAAAATGACACTCTATCAAGGAAACGTGTAAAGCAGAGTACACAAAAACCCACCACATGCTAGTTGCAATCCACATGTCATGCTAAATAAATAACTCGTCATGCTAGAATATATCGGCCATGCAAATTCATGCTAATTATCCCATCAAGCATAATAAAAAGCATGTCAAGCGATGTGTCATGCCAAGCGACATGCTATGCCATGCTAAGCAGGAAATCATTATTACACACCCAACCACGCTACAAGTCTAAGTGGGCCCAAGCCACTCGAATGCCCGGGGCTTGCTTGAGTG